CTGCGTGAGCGCATCGCGACCGACAAAAACCGGGGTCGGTCCGCGCAATTATTTATGTGGTCCGCGAATGATTATAGTTTACGAGCATTTGATAGGTCAGCCTCTGGCGTACACAGTGGGCTGTGATTCGGGACACTTAGGACAAAATTAATTTTAAATTTAACTTAACTTTTTTGATAAATTAGTTTGGTGAACGGTCGTCGTTTGACTTTTAAGTTGTAAACTCCTAACTAGATTTTTGCAAAATTATAATCAATCAATAAAGCATTAGCGTATATTTTAATACTTAAGTTTGCGTAAAAAGTGAAAATAGATAAATAATTAAAGCCACCGCTAAATATGAATGGTCTGGACCACAGGTAAATTTTGACACAAATAAATTATTTTTATTACGAGATTCAGGAAATAAAACTTTCCAAATAGTTGTAAAAAATGTCGTATCAGAATGAAACTAAGACAAAAATGTGTTGGCCGCAAAAGATACAGAAATAAATCAGACAGATGACAATTTAAAGTGGTTAACCCACTAACTGTGACCATTTTAGATACTTTGATCAGATCTTGTCGAAACCCAACTTGTATTAACAGCGACAAAGGCATTTAAACTTTATTTTGTTAGCAATAAAGATGAATTTTATTATTTTTACAATGTTTTAGTGGGTGTTTGTTCAACAGTTTTTAGAGTCAGAGCAAAGATTTATGTTTTTATTTAAGAATTAATGGTATAGTGTGAGTAATCGCCGTTATTTTAATTTTATGCATTAATGATATCTGATTATGAATAAAAAAAGTTTGTTTCGCATATATTAAAAGAGCATCATAAATTTTCGTAATTATTATAATGTTCTCACTTCTAGAGTAATTTCGTTATTTACAAATCGTAAATCTGATATGATCTAAAGATGTATCTATGGAGACAAGTATGTAATCAAAAGCTTTATTACTTTGGCTCACAATTTATGAGCTCATAGTTGAAATACAAGATCAATTTCCTTAATTATACGTGTTTAGAATATTTAAGTAATTCTATATAATTAAACCACGAAATTAATGATTGCACAGTTAAATTGAGCGAATTTTATTACCCCTCTGAACAAAATATACCCCAAATATTTTAAAAGCACCTGGCGCCACTTCTCGCTCTTCGCCTCATTCCATATACTTTACGATCTGTTAAAAGACCGAATTCGCTGTCCAAATTAACACGAAATAAAAACGGAATCGAACCTACAAAAAATAAGCGAAGGTACAAGATAAAAGTTTAAAAAAGGTCCACGTCAAAACATTTGATTGTATTAATATTTATAGGCTTCGTATCGCCGCAGGAAAGACGGCTCGAGTCGGAAGAAAAAAAAATGTTTATCAGTCCGTTTAGCTTTTAAGGAAACCGCGAATCTTTTGTAAAAAGTTATTTATGACCTCGAAAACAATTGCAGTGTTACCATTATATCACATTTGACAGCAATAACTGTATTATAAGTTTTTGTCTCCAAAATGAAGACGTTTCGTTCACTGTGGACGATACAACAATAGTATGTTATTGTGCGTGAAGTGGTGTGATTCACTTATATTGACTTTACTGTTTTTATATTTGAGGCATGAGGACTTTTTTTAATTTTTATAAAGTTCGTTACAATTTTTTTATGATAGTATTTTGTAATTCGCTGTTCACGAGATCAATTGGAGTTTGTGGGATTTTTGTCAGATTGTTACTATAGATTAAAAAAATATATAATTTATGTGAGACTAAAGAGTACCTAAATACTTTTTTCGATAGCTTTTTTATTGTTTTTGCAAAGTGACTAATAGTTACAGAAGATTTTAATTAATCTTATCTTACAGGAACAATCCTGGCACTTCCTATACATATTCAAATCAAGTAGGTACTATCAATAACACAAGGCCTTGATTAAATACACGTTCACATTTAAATATCATAGGTTATTTTCCAATATATGAGTAATATAGTAAACAAATAATTACTTATTATGTGAAACTAGTACTGATCTCACACTTAAAGTTGACCCGTTTGACAAACGGCTCAAGATTCCTATGCTAATTGCGAATGCGGAATATTGCACATGCATAAGAACGTTTGTGCTCGATTATACATCGAATTAAATGGCATGAAACTAGGGTGCACATGCACATGGTTGGATGAAGACTAATATCTATTCATTTATTAAAAACTAAAATTATTTTTACTCATGTAGATATGAGGTAAATTTTGGTAGATGATATTAAACTGTACTACACTAAAAATTTTGTTAAAATATTTGGTTATGTGTTGCGACGACATCGTTGTGAAAAAGATTGAAACACATTTTTTTTATTGACATGATATTCAGTCATTTTCTAATATTTTTTACCACAACAAGAGCAACAAAAGTTTAATAAAATAAACCAAGTTATTTACTTAATTACTTACAAAACTATACTTCATTTGAATCTTAAATGCTTTTAAAATAATCTCCATATACTCTACAGCAGTACATTAAGTACTTCATACAGCCTATGCTAATTCTGCGCCGACGCATTTGCGAACGACTGTACGTCTTTTATGAGGAGCTTAATCAGTGTCTTGAGCGGACATGGGTTATTGAATCGAAATTAAAACACTGACTGCGTAGCTATAGGCATCGTATTATGTATTTTAATTAAAAACGAAATAGGTTATGTATGTATGAAAACTCGATTTTGCTGTATAAGGTGTTTGATTAGAAAGATTGTATGGTGAATGACAGAAATGAATTTGTAGACAGAAAGGAAAGTTGAACATTTAGAATAGGTGCTTTAGGTAAAGGTAAATGTGTCAACTGAAATGTTAGTTTCTTACTGTACCCAGCTCATACTGAGTTGGCAAACCCATTAGTAATGAGCATGATACTACCTTGTTGTTCTTTTAATTACTTACTATTTGGAAATGTTTTATTAGAAAGGAGAAGAAATATTGTATGGTGAATGATTGAGATGAATTTGTAGATAGTAAGGAAAGTTGAACATTTACAATAGGTGATTTAGGTAAAGGTGAAGAGTGTTAACTGAAAACCAGTGTTAGGTACTTACTTTGCCCAGCTCATAGTGAGTTGGCAAACCCTTTTGTCATGGGCATGTTACCACCTTGTTGTTCTTTTAATACTTTTTTTAAATTTATTTTTGTTGTTGTTTTTATTGTTATTCTATGTTTCCGTATTTGCTGCTCAAATGGCAAATATTATTTTTCTATCGTTCTGTCTAAAGTTTTCTATCTTTCGTTCCTAAAGGTTTTATTTGTACACCTAAATATTATAAAGTATATTAGTAAATATAAGACTTTGCAATTACTCGTAAGTTTTGATTTAGACCATAGGTAACATATTATCTACGAATAAATATGTGTCGTACAGGTCCGGAGGTTTTAGACGCCCGCTTCTCCTGTATGAGAGTGCGGGTTCGAAACCTATGAACGGCAAGTACCAATATGACTTTTTTTGAGTTATACGTATTTTCTAAGATTACCTAGACACCACTGACAAATGGTGAAGGAAAACCTCGTGAAGAGACCTGGGCTTATAATTTCTAATTATAAGTTTGAAATCGCCAACCCGCATTAAGCAAGCGCAGTGATTAATGCTCAAACCTTCTCCATGCGAGAAGAGGCTAATGGTCAGCAATAGCCACTTATAGGCTTTTGATGATGATAACGATGGTATTGTCTACAAAATTATGTGTGATTTAACAGTTGATATTTGAAAGTTTTACTGTGATAGGTCTTGCCATGTTAATTAATGATAATTATGACAATTCCCAAGAAACTTCCCGCTTTTGAATTTCATTTCACAAACTAGTAATTAATATGAGTAATGTGTACCTTCGTTCATACACACTTTAGCTAATTACTCATCGACTGATAAGACTTCGTTTTCTTTACAAAAAGGTAGCTAATGTTTTGAAATGCCACACAGCGTTACATACACGTAAACGATCAATAAATGTGTAGGTATCATTGTAAAAAAGGGAACGCATTTAAATTCACCATACTATCTATATTTATTGGTAATTAATCGCAGTAATTGCATAATAACATTTGTTGGGCTTCTAGGTGAAAAAAAGGCTAAATATAGATGTATAAAAATAACAATAAACGTTAATAATTGGTGCATTTTCTACTTCGTATCATCTTAGTTTGCAATTACTGTAGAGGTTTTAATGAGTATTGAATTATGTATGGGGAAATCTTATTATTTTTTTTTATTTTAACTAGTGGGCCTTCAAAATGGGATGTGTTTTATGCAGAATACAGAAACCTTACAAAATTGTGTGCACGATTGTTTAAATAAATAATGATATATTAAAACTCAATATTTAAAATATATGATAGTCTTTTAATAAATAAAATTAACAGTCTCTCGAGAACTATGACCAAGCTAGTTAAATTGCTTAGAGTGAAGGGCTATGCACCATAATTGGACTATTATGACCCAATATGGCAAGTCCCATACAAAGCTTGTCTTATCTTGTTTTATTGAAAACTGATATAAATAGGTATTGCTTTGTTTCAATATAAATCTCTTTTTAGTACATTTATAGGTGAACGAAGGTTTTTATATGTATTCGAATATTTGGGTTCAAAAATGCACATAATCATTTTAGGGCTGCTCTAAAATATTGGCAAAAGTTGCCGTTATATTAACATAAACTTTATCTTTGTAAAACATGAGAAAATCTTTTAATTTCTAGACATTCAAAATATTGTTTGAGCTAGTTTCGTGACGATGTATGCACGTCACCCTATATTTTCAACACTTATAAATGCTGTAGCTAAAACCTACTAAACTCCGTTCCTAAACTCACTCGCAGCGTAAGTTTAAAAACTGAACTTTTAAAACATCTAAACGTTTAATTCAAAATTTAAAAAAGAGTGTTGATCTTTAGATGTGAATATGATTTCTGTCATAAATAAAATAAGGATCATTTTTGTAATAATGCAGTATACGGACACTTATGATAGATGTACTTACATTGTACAATTAATGGATGTACTGTAAGAATGAATAATGTGAAGTAATTAAAAATTGTAATGAGATAATTTGCATCGATGATTGTCAACGTTCTCTGTTGGATAAGACATGATACATTACTTTTAAGTTGTTGTATGAAAATGACTTTATTCCTCTTAGCGATTGAGTTCTTATTTCCATAAATGATTCAGTTTTAGGGGCATAGCATTTTATATGTACCTATTGTATTAGGTATAAATTATTTACGCTCTTTAGCCTCTACGATCACCTCATATTGAATTTCTTCAAAAGTTAATATTTCCCTTACAAATGTAATAAATTCACACATATTATAACTACGCATGTAGAAGTAAATTATGTATTACAAATAGCAAATATAAATATTACGTATGTAAACAAAAGTTAACTATGTTTAAGGTGTTCATTACAGAGTGATCATTAATACATGGCAGTAAAAGAAATATGAATTGTCACAGATATTAAAACCTTAGCTAATAAAAACATAGAAACTATTTTGTAAGCATGAGACTACACCTGCGGTGTCATATAAGTTCAATGCACGTTATTAATAACAACCAATTGATATAAACTCATTTATATAAAAAATAAAAACAAACAACATAAATTGCAAATAAGAAAAAAATATGCTACAAGTTATTTAAAGCTAAACCAGATGAAAAATAGTTGTAGCCTTCCCCTATATTTTATAGCGGCTAAAAGTTGCCATCAATAATTGAAGTTGTGTCTCAAGGGAGAAGGGCTTACCACTATTCCTGACGTGTGGGTACTTTTAGTTGGCAGGCCAGTTAATATTGACTGTGTATACGTGGCTTAACTTTGAAACTTCCTCCAAAGAAAAGTAAAGCATTTTATAATTAATTTTGGTCAGTTACACTAGACGTGTTTACTGCAGATTTAAAAGTGATGCAACTATTATTTTATTTACTAAATGTTACAAATGAACACAATGTTAATTATCTAGTAAAGACACCGAAAATATTAATAAGTTTCAGGTGAGAATAAATGATTATAATTATCTCCCACCATCTTATACGAGTGCCATTTAATAAGCGTTTACTGCATACAAAACTTGCGCAGGCGGCAACGAGAAACTTGCTACGGTACTGTATACATACATACATGCTCACATACACACTCATGCAAGAATTTTGCCATATCATCGCGCCGCCATTGCAAGAACCAACCAACCCGCGACTGCTAATCCCTTCACGAAATATTTTTGTTCCTTTTTTGAACCATTCATGTTTTAGAAGTTTATTTTTGTGTTCCCTTTATGCATATTTAAAGCAGGTCGCTGGTCGGGCAGGGATGCGAGATATTATCAACTAATCTGGTTCTTTGAACTAGTATGTAGTATATAAGTATTTGTTACTAGTTAGTAATGTAGAGGAATTTGCTAACCGGTTCCTATACTGTATTGGATAAAGGTGGTGGCTTTTTGTTGCATTAATGCTACGGTAAAATGTTTTTCAAGTTGTTAAAAGTAATGTTTTGATGTTTGTACATGCAACTACGGTGGTAGTAATAAATTATAAGCATTTCCACCTTTGTATACGTTTTGTAGCCGGCAAAATACTAAACATGTTTAGAAATATTCTAGACTGCAATTAGACACATAGGTTCTTTTTAGCGTCACGCAATTTCCAACTCCGTAGGTAAGTAAGGTACAAACATTTTTGAAAAAAACTTGTGCAAAGTACAATAATTTTTTGTACGGATCGGAAATCTAATCGAGTTGTTCAACCAATGCCGGAACACTGAACATGTTTAGGAGATTCTGAGCTGCAATCAGAATTAGGTATAAATTCAGTTCATACACCGTACACTATAATCTTTAAGTATCGAACAGCTAATTACGAAAGCATAAAAAAGGCTTCATAAGCACGAACGATTTTAAGTGGCGACTACACAGGCATACCTTTAGCATAATATTATTTGAGTCATAATTTACCGCAGTCTCCAAGACCGAACGCTTGATTTATTTATGAGCCCATACTGAGTCCACCACTAATCTTTAGTGGAATTTAATTTGTTATTTATTTACTAATCGCCGCTAGTAACTGTGGAACAGGTAGGGTTATGCATGTCATTAGTATGGCCGCTTAAGGGGGAGTCTATTTTCGGGATGCGTGTGTTTTTTTTTTATTAAATGTTAGGTAGGGTACAGAATAGCGAAAGATTTACGGTTTTTTTTTTCTTGAGGTTCGGTAGATATTGGTTAAAAGATAATTTAATATCTAAGTTTAATTAGTTGCTTCGTTGTCCGAGTGGTCGCAAGTGCTACTGCTGGGCAAGGGGCCTCGGGTTCGATTCCCGGGTCGGGCAAAGTATAACCGGGTTTTTAAAAATCACAGTAGTAGCACGGAGTCTGGAAATGTGCCCGGTATATGGCAATAGGCTCACCCCCTTATTACATGGGACTCATAACATAAATAGTGAAGAGTGGGTGTTACATTGTACAATGGCATTAATTGCCGTAATGTGCACCTCTGCTTTCCCCTTCAGGGATAATGTTATGTATGTATTAATTAGTGACGTTTCAATTTTGGTCCTGCCCAGGTTATACAAAGCATGATAGGGCTTAACAAAAATGTTTTGATAGTACCTATAGAATCTAAAATTACGCCTAGTATAATAGTAATGGGCTCACCACCTTCTTATCATTTTGTCTATCGCTTCAAGGAATTAAAAACTTCAATATGTTAGACTGAATACTCTTAATAGCAATATCTAATATCTAGGTGTAAAACCTGCATAGAAGGAAGTAATCAAGGTATTATTTATGAGATCAGTCAGTATTTCATATTGAAATGAGGCTGCACAATATATTATCAGTTTATTAATTGTTATAACTGGCTTTAATCCTAGTTTTCTTGTAATACAATTATGAATGGTTATTTAATTCAATTACGCGGATATCATTTTATTTTTATTAAATATATACGTATTGTTGTTATGCCTCTGAAGGAAGATTGTATTATTGTACTGTAAACTTAATTTATACTATATTTATGGAGTTGTTTACAAATAATTAATTAAAATATTGCCTGAAATCGATATTAAGAAAACCAATTGAGAATTTTTAAAAGTGGATACTTTAACCTATGGAGTTTCTTGCTCGTTCTTCTCCATAGGAATCTACACTTTGGAACGAGCAAATAGCTTCACTAGAGGACTGACCTACAGATTGTCATTTTTTCTTATTATTTAATACTTAAATATTTTGTTTTGACGTTCAAAAGTGCCTTCCTGGTCTAATTGAAATAAATGATTTTGACTTTGACTTTTGACTTTGACAGTTTTCTTCCATAACCAGAAATCGAACTCTAAATATTCTACCTGGGAGCCTCAGAATTACTTGAAAGAGGCAGTTAGCATGTTTTTAATTACAAATGGTACACGATTAGTTTTCCAACGTTTTAAGTTTTCGTAAGCGACCTAAAATTCGCGTGTGGGCCGCCTTATCGTTTAAAAGAATTTTAGTTAGAAATAGCTTGTTAAGTCTGTATCTGGTTGTTTCAATCGTTACGCCTTATACAACTACGTATTTATAAGAAGTTTGTTATTAGTTTTCAAAAGATTTGTAATAAATTAATTCCCTATGTTCTCAATTTTCTGGTTTGTCGTAGGTAAATTCAGAAGTTGCCAGTCTTGGTCAGGTAGCTTTGTAGAACAAAACTAACCTAAACTGGTTACAATATATTTGTATATATCATTTTAGGTACATATACCAGTTTAGATTAGTTTTGTTCATTAGTAGCCCTTCTAATTGCGATAACTTAACGAAAATTGTATATGCATAATATTTTTAATAACAATGAATCCATGTCTCTCTAGACATCTAATTGCAGTACCTTACTGTTATAAAAACCAGTACCTACTTAACATTTACCACTTCATATATAACTCTACAGGCAAAGGCATTTATTATATTATAATTTATCACGATGACGTACTCTTTTTCACTGTGTACGTTTAAATATGAATATATTAAGTTAAAGCAATATCACTTAACCTCGTTTTCAAAACCGTTAATTTCTTAGCACTAAAACAGTCACTATCAAACTAGAACAAAGTTAACATTGACAAGATTAGACACGATCTAACAAGGGTAAGGCCCTAATGTATTTTCAATGTCCACTTCAAGATAATTGAAAACCTTTGCTACTATAACTCCATAATTTATACAAGATTGGGTTGATTTAACGCGATATTTATCTACCTATACAGAGCTGTACTACAATCTACATGCGTAATAATATGTAATTATATATAATTTTATAGCTTATAAATTGATTCCGACGCTTGCAATAAAAAGAGTATTCAAGATTTTTTTTATTCAGAAAAAGATTTTATATCTGACCGATGGTAGTCACGGATTATGTTATGCATTTAAGTAAGGTTCTGTGATTAAGTTAATCCCTGCAAAATCTTTATAAAATATTGTGAGAATAATTAAGTTTCTTGACGTTGACCCAGTGCTTTCTCGATGACCCGACATGATACAATGGTTGAATCAAAGCTTTCCAGTCAGTGGGCCATTCATTTTGTTCACAGAAACTTATGAATGAGGTATTGGCTTGTCACCTTCTCTATAATTTTCTCACACCTTAATTTTTGATTCAAAATTAATCATTAAATTATTTGTTAACTTGTACACACCGCATAGATGTTTTCGTTATATGAGATGAGTAATAAATTTTGTAAGATTTGCAAACAAGAATAGTGTTTGTAACTGTTTTATGATTTGTTCCAATTTACAATGGAACTGGCGTAACATATTATTTCTAAATAAATAAAGATTTAAAAAAATGTATGTGTAATCCAAAACTTTAATTATAACCTTTTCATTTTTAAACAGTGGCAAACCTTTTGACAATTATGTTGGTGCCGCAATACCTTCAGGCCTACCAATAATTTTCACGCGATTTTTCCAAACAACTTAATTTTCACGGACAAATTAATACCATACTTGGAGTATGTAACTAGTGCTAAATAACGGTGTATTGAATTCTTATAAGCAGTCAGACGGCACGCACGTAGGGCGGTGGCTTCCACCTCTCCTTGAGTTATTACCACCAAACATGTAACACGACCTAGCCGCCTGCCAACTCTATTTGCATACTTCAGTTTGTCGCAGTCCGGCGACTTGTACAACTGAATCTAAATGGTTCCATTTGAAAAGAAAACAGTACTTACAAATTTAATATCGATTGACTGAGATTAAAATTTGATTTGTATATTATAGTGTAGTTTAAGGATATTTCTTATTTAAAATTAATTTTGCAAATTAAATAAATTAAGTAGTGAAGGTCTATTTAACTACGGTAGACCAAACGGAGCTACGGATAAAGAAAGAACAAAATTTTTTTTGTGGCATAAGCCGGTAAACGAGCAGACGGATCACTTGATGGTGAGCAATCGGCGTCGCCCATGGACACCTGGAACACCAGAGGCGTTACAAGTGCGTTACGGGCCTTTTGAGGATTAGGAGTTTGAGGATCGTTGGGGATTCAGGAATTGGGGAGATTAGGGAAGGGGAGGGTAATTCGGCCTCCATTGTACAATAATTATTTAAAAACTACATTTAAAAAACCCATCTTCAATTCAATACCCTCTATTTTTAAGCCTGTTTATTAATATAGCTACTATAACCTTCTCCTAAGTGTAACAAACACTTTTCTAAAAACCGCATGAAAATTGGTTTAGCCGATCGCGAGATAATTGCGCACAAACATACAAACAGGTCAAACTAAACCTCCTTCTTCTTTTCTTTTTCTACTACAAAAGCAAAGTCTGAACTACAAATTAGCATATAATAAAATATGTACCTAATAGTAAAAGTATTCATCTTAGACACAAACAGTCAGGCATAGATGATAAATCAATACGCATAGGCGTATGTCTAGTTTAAAATACTCCTCTTAATTGAGTTGTATAATGATATATCTTCAGATCTACTTCAGCATTGTTTGTTAGGGACACTAAATCAATTGATTTACTATTCACATGTCAACCAATGTTAATAGACATAGAAGCTAAATGAACAATCGTATGGATCTATTTTATTTTGTTCTGATTATAATTATAATACTCTGTAAAATAAGAGGTTTGAAGTTAGTTTTCTTAAAATTATTCATTGATTTCTAAAATATTGATTTAAGAAAGTATATTTTTAAATTGTCCAATTAAAAACTTTCAAATATTTAATTTATTCTTGTATGGAATTGTGAAGTTACTTTGAAGTCGTTACCTCACATACTTACAGTGGCCCGTCTGCAATAGGCCTAGCGGTTGAACTGTACATTTTAATAAGGCTTTGTCAAACCTACAGACTTGTTATGTGTAATAACAGGGTTTAAAAAAGAAAAACTATTTTCAAGTGTTTAGTTTGTTTGTAACGAGTGCTTTAAACTCATTCGGTAGGTACAATCATCTCCTAGTTCTTGTTAATCTTAAAACTGCATTCTTTACATTTCTACACATTCCCGTAGAATAAGATTATGTTGAAGATACCGTCAATAAATCATATGACTTTACGCAAGAAGATGTAAGAGAACGAGACAGCTAAAGAGATTTAACTAATGAAAAGATTATTTTTACAAACACATTAGTAAAAATCAACCAAAATCTAAGAAAGTGTATCGAAAATAAACTGTCACAAATAGTAAAAATCTCGGTCACCATCATGAGGATGATGAACAACCACATGCGTAAGGATAGCGAAAATAAACCAATTAAAAAAACATCGTAGGCCTTGGCAAGGTCGAAATAAACTTGTGCTACATGTAACAATACGAATTTCGTATAATTTCGCCGGAACAGTGGGCTGCTGACATCTGCTCTTGTCTTTATATCGGGATTGGAACATCTACTGACAGGCGTGGTGGCATCCTGTCTCTTGTTGCGAACGGTTATCTACCTGATATATCACTTTTTGATTTCGAATTCTGTGTTTTTAAACTTTTTACTAGACGCTGTCCACACGAAGCAATTAAGAACACAGACGTAAACCGCAATCTTTTCTCTTTTAAATTTCACGTTTTAAAACATAATAAGAAATCACTAAAGAACTCCAGAATTTAATATTGCTTGAAGAAATGAAAAATGTGGTTGCTTGCTTCCGAATTCTAATTTAAAGCTGATTAACCCTTGAATAACCCAATTCACGCCTAAAGGTTAGGATACGTCAAATGAACCGTCACGGTGACTACGCGCTTTCCCCATCATTAGGATACGAGAAGAAAAAAGGCTTCGGATGTTCAGATGTAAGCGCCCGCCAACAAAGCCATTATGCCTTATTATGGACACCATCCATCAGCCAGCCATATCGATCCAACATTAATGCATGCTAATGCTTTATAAATAGATATATAATTTGTTTTGTCTCCACCTCGGCATCCAATTGATGGATTGTTTTATTTCTATTACATCAAACTGTTGGTTTTTGATAGAGGCGTGGCGGTGCTGCCGTTATTAGTTTAACCGACGAAGCTAAATCATTTATGATTTCACGCTACCAGTAAAAAAGTGTGAATCGAACGGTTTGTTATATTGATTATTCTCGGAGTGAAGATTCATTAATAAGACAAAATATTTTACCGTTATGATCTTAAATCTAAAGGAATTTGGTTAAAAATGTTTGCACTTACTTTGTCCTAGGTGTACTCGTTTCATCCATGGATATATTTGCGGAGGATTAGCAGAGGAGTTTGATGCTGAAGATTTTGAATTCTTTGTGTTTGAGCTTGAATTATTAGCCTCATTGCTCTCATTACTTGATGTACTCGAAGCAGGACTTGATATATTCTGATTCACATTAGCCTTGTGTTCTACTGGAGAAGCGATGGGAGTAGTTAGGCCTAGTTTGGTACTGGTGGTTCCACTAGAATTCTGTCCAACACCTCCAAAACCGGGTGATGTTCGACCAGGTCCAGAGGAAGTAGATAGATCTTGAGGAGAGGCTACTCCGGTAGTAGATGTAGAATCAGCGAATTTACAACTAGCTCCGGCAGCCTGACTCGGTGGTGTGGACATTAAATTCGGAGATAATGCTCCTGGACTCGGATTCGAGTGTTGATGCATGTGACTTGCCGAACTGCCCAGTCTTTGGGGATGTAACTGTGTGTAGTCTATCATTGTTTGTGGTTGCATATGGGCTCCAGTTGCAGGTGTTCCATATGGGTGTTGGGGGTAGTGATGCCCAACTTGCGGCGGCGAATAACAAGCATTTGGATAGGCTGACGCGGCCGCATTTGGGTTGTAGTAATCAGCTCCAGGTGTTGGTAACCCGGGATGGCCTGCTTGATCCACGGGCGTCCCAGTACGCCCGGGCGCTTGATTCCCATAACAGGAAGCAAGCGAGTTGACAAATTGGTAGGAGCTCATCCCTGCGTTATAATTTAGTTCGTTCATCGATAACAGCTTATTTTGTCCTTCTTCTCAAGATCACTCGGCACTTGTCATCGTTTGGACGAGCACAGAATAGTCTAGTTGGACATGTTAAGTGCTACTGATGTTCGCGGTCCGTTTCAATTGTCCCCGTAGAGTGGAGCTTGATTGATGGACCTGTGATAAAATGAGACACATTAGTCGGTCAAGTGCGTCGTCTCGTTATACGTGATAAATGTTGTAATACAGATTGTATCTTGAGTGTTTGATTTAAATATGTATTGTATTTTGTCGAATGTGAATTATGGTATAATGCCAGAACTATATTTTATTCCCATGACCTATAGATAATATTAGAATGTTATTGTGTTTAAATAGTGATGGTCTTCAATTCTAACAAACATATAAATATTCAACTTTAATATCCAGAGGTACATGTGACTAATTATAGTTTGAAGAGTGAAATGGGTTAGTGCCTTTTTTAAAAACCTGTCAAAAAGCAGTTATTTTTATGTTTGTCTCAAGTATTCGCCAGGGTGGGCCCTAATCACAAGCGATAACGCAGTTTGCAACGTGGTTCATTTTACGGTCACTTTCGTTTTTGCAGTACCTACTCAACAGTAGTTGCATAAATCACTAAACACATGTACCACTTGCGTCACGCTGGAGGTCTATTCTAAAACAATAAATTAATATTGGGATGTGACTTCCTAAAGCGCAGTACAGATGTCAAGTGTGGAAAAAACTGCGGCTCAGCCACGTGGTAGGGCTATAAAAGTGTCCGCAGAGGTTTATGGGTGTAAGCGGTAGGCCGAATGTGACTTCTCCCGATTTATGTACTCCGCTCGGTGCATACATCTTTATGAGCAAATTAGCAGTCATTGTGCACCCGATTTATTTGTCGCATTTGCTCTCTGAATGATAAATGTGAGAATTTTAGTCGGACAACGCAATTTTGGCGTATTACGCCTTTGTGTTATGAAAAATATGTAACTTTTACAAATTTTTTTTTTATTTTATCGCTTGTATATCATTTAGCGAAGTTATATTCAGTTTTTAACCTGAATAAAATTTTAGCCTGTTTCATTTTTAACTACATTAACAAACCGAAAAGTAACTTTAAAGGTTAGTAACAGGTTTTAATAAATTTTGCGCCACTTTGTAATTTATGCGCAATGAATGGCTCATCTTCATAATTGGACGATAAAGCCAAGCAGTTAACAAAATTTATAACTCTATAAGGAGGTGTTTAATAAAATCACAATATTTATGGTAGATATATCTAATCAATAAAATTTGAATTATGAAATCGATTTCAAATCAATAACATTAAAATAATTTAGTAGAAAAGGAATTAGATTGAATGATGTTCATAGCACAAGATCTACATAGTATGAAGATCAACGAAGAGCGTTATCTTTCTCAGAAGTTAATTGGAGTTACAGCTATCAGATTAATTGATCAAAATGATAAACTAACTAGTGTTAGGAAGCTACATTGAGTAGACGAAATGGAATTATTAAAGATACACGAGTCAAAAATTGAAATAAATGTTAAGTACAATAGAAGGTTTCCTATTTATTTAATCCTGAAGTTTAGATATGAACGGAAGACAAAGTAATGAATAAAGTAATGTTTTATTATTTTATTTTTTTTACTTACAGAACTAAATATGATCAACTGCCGTAAAGGATTTTCCTACAACTTAGAATCTAACACCGGCTACTGAAGATTATGAAACCGTATAGTCATCAATCATTGAAGACCACAAAATAACTTATGATAAATTCCGGTGGATTCCACCATTTTTATTTCCTATTGAATATTTAACTATTGCGTTAAAGTTTAACCCTAGAAATGAAAGTAATTTCAGAGAAAAATTCACTAGAAGAACTTGCTGTTGCTATAAAAAAATATAGGTGTACTTCAATAGGATGCTACAAGGCCTTAAAGGTTTATTGCTTTAGAGATTGGCAAACCTAATTTTGTTATTCCTATCAAATTGTTCAGTACTGCTTTTAATAATCATTTCTTTCCTCCATCGTGAGACATACAGTCACATGTGTTCAGTTTATTTCAGTTTAGAATTTTTGTCACACCCGTCCGGTCCACATTAAATGGGCCGAACGATTTCATTGCTTTTGTCTTTTTTTTTCTTTAAACTTTTTTCCTACAACGTTGTTTATTCCCAGACATCCTTTGATGAGCATGCCTCGGTGTCTGTTTTAATTTTAATTCGGCACTTTGATAGCTTTTATTGTGTCGTTTGGTATTAACAGTAACTTGCTTCTGTGTTTTTATGTCCTTGTTATTTGATATTGCACAAGGATATCCAGTGTTCTAGTTTTATATTATTTTATTTTGAGTCCAGTAAAGAAAAATATTCAATTTGATGTGTTAAGCTTCATAAAATTATATTTGTAAAATTACACATCATAATGGTAGGTATGTTAGAATCTACGAATAATTTTGTTGAAAAAATATAATTCTATTTATGTGACAAAGTCGCTCCAATAAATATAAATCGACCTATAATATAATTTTAAGATCCACTAATGCTAAAAGCTCTCGGGATATAATAACTTTTAATGTTCCGTGTCAAGTGGACAGTTTGAATCCACTGCGTCCTGGGAGATTTACTGCGACACGCTTTGATTTCTCGACTCGCGCCTTTTCAATTTGAACTGTATCAATTGACGATAATTTTCTATGACAGCAGAAAAAAATGACAATAAAAAGACAATTTAATATACTCACTCCTATTCAAAGTTTAGAGTGACCAACAGCGGCAACAGCCAACTTTACGACCAAACACAACGTTGACAAAATCACTAAACATCCCACAAGTTTATCTGATGACACTTTTCACATAAAAAATATTTTACAAAAAAATTAGAATCATAAAACAATAAAATCTACTAAAATCAAAGACGACCGTTACAGTCAATTCAAGAATAGAACTTCAAAATTCGGAAAACTTCGGTGCGTGTCGTCGCGGCGAAAAACGACTCGTGTTTTCCCGGCGTTCGAGCGTCGAGTGCAGCGCGCGTCTGACGACGAGGTGAGCGGCTGAGTTGACGCGGCGTCAAACTAGCGGCGGGCGGGGCGAGCGGGGCGGGGCGCACCTGAGCCCGCCACGTGCGAGTCCGCTCCGCTCTCGCTCAGCTCCCGCTCCCGCGCCCGCTCCTTCGATTAGCGTAATTAGGGTACACCGTCGCAACACCACGTATCCGATTTCAATGGACCGATTGATGATTATGGATGGTAAATGGTGAACGATTGTCGGTAGCCGTGAACTGCAATCTTTTCACCATTTTTGTTCCTTTTTCTGCTGTGAAATTGTTGCTAAACGAAGCTCTATTTGAAGAGATTCCCGTAACTTTTTGAATTAGAATATCCGTTAAAATTTGTACTTACGTGCTAAGAAAATAAAATAAAGTTTTTTTTTATATCTAAGACTGTTATTCTATTACTAGTAGAATAACCGTAGTTGAAAAAGTTACCTTTTTACAGCAAACACAGGTAGGTAACAATTACAGCTGAAATATTTTATTCTCTATTCCATTTTTTATTTAGCCACTATTATCATTATCACAAACACACACACACACAAACGCCAGTACCATAACTCGTCAAGCAAAGTACTTAGTCCTAGTCTAGATGAGCGGACAAGGGCCATGCATCACTTCTGACACACGACGTCTTGGTGAGGAGTAAAAATGACCACACATCGCATAAATGTATCACTAGCCTATATTTTCATAATCACATGCAGACGTATGTGGCAACCTCGCAGCTTGGCTATGAGAATTTGATAAAGAACGAGCCAGTGTAGACAAATGAAAATGAATGAGCCATTGAAATTCTGGTGAACCTTTTCTGGTACAAAATTAAATTGCTTAGCAATGACATAATTAATTATTGATATTGATTACAACTACTGGAATTGGTATTTCGACATAAAGAAAAGGCTTTAAAATTTGCTTTAATTATGTATTTCGTAAAGATGAACACGTTACAGCAGAAGATTTTCTTCTAGATCACTAAAAAGATCGTACAATCATACTAAAAAAATAGGAACATTACTACAGAAAACATCATCGCTGAAATCACAGCCCATTGCCAACTGACTATAGAACAAATCATACCATCAAATACGAATTAAATACATGAAAGTCAACGTATCACAAACAGTTTATAAAGTCGCCGCGATCCGCTAACGACTCACATTCGTCTTGTACACTGGCTTAATTATAATTAAGTGCTAATTATGACGATAGTACGCCACTTGCTGACGACCCTCCTGACTAATAGCGTAATGTTACAGTGGATTTATTGTTTTTTCACACGATTCTCAAACAAATTCGGCGTACATGTTTTGCTTTCGATGTTTGGATAATGCAAATGAAGTTCATGGTTTAATGTTTGGCTTTTAAATTTTAACTACGGCTTTCGTCACGTCTGCTTATTATGTTAAACTGTGTGTAATTTACTAGAAAGCTGTGTTAGACGTTTTTTGTTTTTGAAATGAAGAAAAACAATTGGAAGATGAAAACTGAATAAGTTGTTAGAAAATGTGTAAAGTAGATGTAACAGCCTCTATTGTGTATTTTTCGATGGTTCTTCTGACCACTGATCATCCACTTTAGTTACAAAGGCGCCAGGATTTTTATGACTTGTGTGTTTTTCCCAGTTTATTCGATTTTGAACTTTATTTTCTCTCTATTAGTTGTCATTGTTGATACCTGATGAGATGAATTACTTACTGATCGTATTCATCATCTGCGTTAAGAGTGCTGGTTGTTTCCGCAAACAATTTTGTCAGTTACTCAAGTTCAACTTTGGCATGATATTCCGACTTCTACATTAAGCTGTTCGCGTTATAAAGGAAAAGAATGGACGATCACGTTATAAAGGAAAAGGAAAAAAAACTAAAATGGATTAAGAATTAATGTATATTTTATCTTGTATCTAATAATCTTGATATCAAATACGACTAAAGACATTTTTCTTACTCCCAGGACAGACGGTTGGACCCAAACCTTCATCACCTATGAACAACAATGGCATTGTGTTTACTCCAAAAGCTTAATTTATTGTAAATTCTTCGATCAGAATTAACATAAAGTTATGTATCACGAACTCCTACAGGTTTTGGTATTTCTATCCTACTTTGTTAATCACACAAAAAATTAGGAGGTCTGTCGGATGTCCCGAAAGACACCTACCCCATGTCCCGTGGGCCACAAAATTTATTACAACTTAATAATCGGCTAGTCGCGCGACAAATGCACATGTGTGCCAACAACCTCGACTTAAATAATTTACGACTTAAGGGTTACACTATACCTGTCCCTGTTTTTCTCCTGAAGAAAGAAAAGGATGATATTAATATGTTTATTTAAAAATTGTTTATTGGTATTTAAAAGGGAACTGGTTTTTGGGTATTAAATAATTTATTTTGGTTAGTTAAGGAATGTGTAGAATTTAAGACGTGGGTATCAGATTGGTGATCTGATAGGACTCTTGTCTTACTGGATTTTTCGAAATAGGGTTGGAATTTCCGATGACTGAGGTACGATATCTATGTAGGTAAGTATATATTATGTAAATTGGATTGGATGGCTATGTACTTACCTCATACCTAGGTAGATATATAACAACGATTGCTTAGACATTTCTGGATAACGAATAGAGATTAATTTCTTTAGTAGATTAATGAGTGTAAGTTCGTATAAATGGCAATTAAAACCATGCCATTTTATCTGAAGCAATCGATGTAAATACAGGAACAAAGTGGTTTATTTTTTCCTCTACAAAAGGTCAATTAACCATTTTGTCTCCCTTATACGTATTTATAATTCGTTTTAATCTTATAGCACCAGCGTCCATCACTGAAGTAATTAATTGCTAATAAGTACTGAAAATTAAACTTTGAGGTTAAGCAAATATGTACTAATTTTAAAAGTATTTAATCAAATGAATGTCATATACTTTTTTCTCAAAATTATTTCTTTTTAATTATGAGAAGGTAGTACTTTGTTTTAGGTAAGTTTTTTTTCACACCCCTATCATAAATATGCAGGTGCAGGTAATTTATATACTAATAGGTGTGTTTGTACTGAAGTACCTCAATTCTTTGTAGTCTATTGTTTATAATTACTTACATATAAATGCAATTGCACAACCCTTGAGCATAAATGGAACATCACGCGTTTCTTTAACTAAACGACGAAGTAAACCGTGATACCAACATAATAACACATAATTACTTAATGCAACACTTAATTTGCAAATGAATAAAAAATTTGCATGTAATCATAATGGCAAATGTGTTGCTGTCTCTACCGCACTAGGTTGTAATGTATGGGTGGGAAAGAGACGTTGTTTGGGTGAGCGCTCCTCGGTTGTAAAGCATGCGTAGTGCAGCGCTCGTGGGCGCGGCTTTCTGCGTGACCCGACGGCACCCGATTGGCCACGACAGTTGCTGAAGTGGGGTGTGAATGAAGAAACTTCAAACAGTTTTGTAGTTGAAAACTTTATGAAATTATACTAAAATTTCCTGGTTTCCTATCGTTTTTGGCGACGTGATTGGAATGTGGAAGTTGTTTGATGATAGTTTTGTTTTTGCGTAGGCGTGACTGGTAAGTAAAAAATATTTTTTTTTGTTTCTTACCTACAGATTTGTTAAAAAAGTCAAAAGAATAACGCTTGAAATTATTAACCAGTATTACCTATTTACTAACTTAGATATAATAAAATCAGTTACCTACCTTTTTGTTTACCTCAGTAAACTCAGAAACTTTAAAAAATCAGGTCACTTAGGAACATTTTTTCCTAGTTCCTTATTGTAAAGTAGATGGTCTAAATTAAGTTTATGGTCAGTTACCTAGGTGGGTACCTATATAGCGTACACATTTAGTTTCTACCTTCAAGGATATACTAACCTCTAATTAAATAATCTGTTTAACAATATTTAAACAAAATTCCAATTTGTTTCATTTTCATAACTGGAATTACCTACCGTAAATAAACGAGGTATTGATTAAATCATAAAAAGAGTTTTTATTAAATAATTCTAAAACTAATAAATAAAATGAAGTTACGTGACAAAGGGCTTTCTAAAACGTATTTTACAAAAGGTTTCGTTGTTCTAATACTTGTAAGAGTAACAATAATTAAACAACAGAATATTTCTTTTTTACATTACTTATTTCAAAGTCTTGTCTACAAAAGGGAAAAGTTATTTAGAAGCCAAACATCATTTGGAAAGAAAGACCAGAGAGTGTAGGATTTTTACCATCAAAACCGTAAAGAATTGTCGGAGGGTGGTGTGGGCGAGATCCCTCTTCGTCACACAAATTGGTATAGGTAGATGTTTATTTGCACACCGGCACAAAGTACAATAACGTACAAAAAAAAAAATACAGTGAAGACGGTACAAAAAGGCCAGAGCTCAGCATAAATCCCGTGACCCAACATACAATCTTCGTAATGAAAGGATTGTTTATTTTTGTACATTGCACTTTCGCTTGTTCACATTTTAATCAAGCCGACATTTCCTACCGACTATTCTGAAACAAATTCAGAGGTCTCAGTCATTTTCAAAGTGTGTGTAATGTCGTGGTGGCCCGGAGGTTTAAGACGTCCACTTCTCATGCATGAGGGTGCGGGTTCGAAACCTACCAACGGCAAGTACCAATGTGACTTTTTCCGAGTTATATGTACTTTCTAAGATTATTTAGACACCACTGACAAACGGTGAAGGAAAACATCGTGAGGAAACCTGGACTTATAATTTCTAATTATAAGTTTGAAATCGCCAACCCGCATTGAGCAAGCGTGGTGATTAATGCTCAAAACCTTCTCCGTGTGAGAAGAGGCTTTGCTCAGCAGTGGGCATTTATAGGCTGTTGATGATGAGTCATTTTCAAAGTGCAAACATAACTAACACAATGTTCTAGAGCCCCCACTATTAAACTCCTGTTACGGAATAACCTTGAGGACGTATTGACTAGGTGCTACTTACCTATATTATCTAAGCCAAT